TTATAAATTTTATTCTAATCTTCAATTTGTATCAATGAAGGTCTCTGGCCTTTCATAAATATGCATTTGAGGTCCAAATGGATGGAAGTCGTCCATTAGAACATTTGTTGATCAATATTTTGCCAAAAACTGATATTTTGATCATTTTAAGCAGAGATATTTTCATCAATTCATGACAATATTGTATTTTACAATATAAATACAATTATATAATAAGGAATAATTAAATCAAAAAACAAATTGATATATTCACATGAATTTTATATATTCATCCCATTTTAAATTTTATATCCCTAACACTATTTCTACGTGACTTTTATATATGTATCTCACTTCAAATTGAAATCTCTTCTCACTTGATAACAATTGAATTTTATATATATATCCCATTTTATGCGTCGACGTATCATACAATAAAAGTATATATTGTCAAACAATGTTAGCGACATAAATTCAAAAATAAATAAGATAACAACTAAAATATCAAGTAAGTACAGCAGATGAATTGGAACTTTTCCAAATACTTGTGAAGAAACCCTCTACAATTGAGAGCAAAAAAATATTTATACAGATAAAAAGACAACGAGACATTGAGTATGCCAAACACACCAAACGCTGGCATACAAGTAGCCCAAACTCGTATGTATATTTTTATCCAAGTTGTATATTGCACCAAACATGAGTTGGCGAACCCTACCGAGTTGACTCGTTGACTGGACAAGTCTTGTAGAATATAAATTTTTGGGCCCACTAGTGTAGGGTCGTCACCATTAATGACCACTATATGCCACAAACTCGAGGTATATTTTCAACCGTCATTCATCCAATTAGAAGATAATTGTAAAGCAAAGATAAGAAAATTAGAGTGCCCAAAAGTCAATCACGATATCACGAGAACGCCACTTAAACCATAAATGTCTTAATGAGTTAGAAAAAATACAAAATAAAAAAATAAAAAATAAACAACAAAACAAGATAATAAGGTAATCTTTACTTTTTCAAATTCCTCATCATATATTATTATGTCGGTGTATTTGCTCTTACAGAGTCTCTTCACCCCTGATTCCGTCATTGCTAAATATACAAGGATTGCATTTAGCCATGCATTTTTTTTTTTTTTTTTACGTTTTCATTTTCAATCACGTATTCCTACAATAACATATTTTACACGTAAATTCAAAAAAAAAATTCTACTTTTTAATCACACATTTTCGAAAAACTTATTATTCAAAATAATATTTTAAGAAAAATGGCCACCAAACATGGGCTTAATAAGTCACATATTTCAGTACTTTACTTTTAAAATTATTAAAACTACTTTTAAATTGATTGATCATTGACATATAAAAAATTATGCAAAATAAACTATGAAGAGAAATCAATAAATATTTTTTGAGAAAAGCAAAATGAAGAGTTAAAATAGAGAGCATTGTTGGAGTGCATAAAATTTTTTTGTCTCTAAATGTATAGATACTCTCTACAATGTAAGATACTTTTTATAAATAAAGGGTCCCTTGAACAATAGGGATGTCCACGATCCGAGCCGGCTCACGAGTCGAAACTCGAGGCTCGGATTCTACTCAAGTAAAATGATTCGGGCTTTTACTCGACCAAAAAATTTAGGGTTGACCTATCGAGCCAACTCACTATTCCAATTTTTTTATAATAACGGCAGCGTGTACAATACCTGCAAGCTGCCTAGCTGCCCGTGCAAAAGTAGGAAGCTAGTTTTTTAAACTTTTGTAGGTTTTATTCTAACATTTCATTTGTGTCAGCAGCGATATCTAATCTTTCAAAAATATGCATCTGAAGTTCAAATGGATGGAATTCGTTCACCTTTCCGTTAGTTGACTAAAAAGATTAAGGAAATTGCAGCAGCGGTCTCTAACCTTTTTAATTTTTGTAAATTTTATTCTAATCTTCAATTTGTATCAATGAAGGTCTCTGACCTTTCATAAATATGTAGTTGAGGTCCAAATGGATGGAAGTCGTCCATTTGACCATTAGTTGATCGATATTTTGCCAAAAATTGATATTTTGATCATTTTAAGCGGAGATATTTTCGTCAATTCATGACAATATTGTATTTTACAATATAAATACAATTATATAATAAGGAATAATTAAATCAAAAAATAAATTGATATATTCACATGAATTTTATATATTCATCCCATTTTAAATTGGAACCTTTCCAAATACTTGTGAAGAAACCCACTACAATTGAGAGCAAAAAAATAATTATACAGATAAAAAGACAACAGAAACATAGAGTATGCCAAACACACCCAACGCTGGCATACAAGTAGCCCAAACTCGTATGTATATTCTTATCCAAGTTGTATATTGCACCAAACATGAGTTAGCGAACCATACCGAGTTGACTCATTGAGTGGACAAGTCTTGTAGAATATAAATTTTTGGGCCCACTAGTGTAGGCTCGTCACCATTAATGACCACTATATATTTTCAATCGTCAATGATCCAATTAGAAGATAATCGTAAAGCAAAGACAAGAAAATTAGAGTGCCCAAAGGTCAATCACGATATCACGAGAACGCCACTTAAACTATAAATGTCTTAATGAGTTAGAAAAAAATACAAAATTTTTTTAAAAAAAATTAAACAACAAAATAAGATAATAAGGTAATCTTTACTTTTTCAAATTCCTCATC